ATTCTGAAAAGAATATGAAAATGAATATATGTATGTATGACTGAAACATTAAGCTGTACACCAGAAGTTGACACACTGTAAACTGATTACACTTAAAATAAATAAATAAAATAAATAAATAAATGAATAGTTCTGGGATGACTGTACATCTATTTTAGAAAAAAAGTGAAATTTGACTCCTACTTCACATCACACACAAAGATAATCCCAAATGGATAACAAAACCAATTCTAAAGGCAAAAGTATAATGCTGTTGGAAGGTAACACAGAATATATTAGTTGCTCTTGAACTAAGGAAGGATTTTTTAAACAGGACACAAAAAGGACTAACAATGAAAAAAAGACTAATCTACTGATTATTAAAATTAAGAAGGCCTGTTTATCAAAAGATATCATAAAGAGAACAAAAAGATAAACCACAAAGTAGGAAAAGTTATTTTTAACACATATAACCAAAAAAGGACTAAAATACACAATATATTTTAAATATAATAAGAAAATGACAGATAAACCAATAGAAAAGTGTGCAAGTTATTTAAACAGGTACTTCATAAAAGAAGATATCCAAATAGCCAATATACACAAGAAAATGTGCTTGGTCTCATTAGTAATCAGAAATGTAAAAATTAAAACTTCAAGATTCCACAACATACTCATCAGATAAGCAGAAATTTAAAAGTTGAACATTACCAAATATTAGTGAAGAAGTGAAGCAATGGGAACTCCCAGACACTGTCATTATGTAAACCAGTAAAACCACTTTGGAAAACAGTTTGGTAGGATAAAGTTCAAGATATAAATCCTTCATCAATATAACAAACCCCCTCAAAACATAATAGCTTAAAATAACAACCATTTAAAAAAAACAAGTACTTCAACATAATAAAGTCCATGTACAACAAGCCCACAATTAACATCATACCCAATGGCAAAATGCTGAAAGCTGTTCTTCTAGATCAGAAACAAGACAAGGATGCCTACTCTCACCTCTTTTATTCAATATAGTATTCGAAGTCCCACCCAGAGCAATTAGGCAAGAGAAATAAATAAAAGGCATCCAAATCAGAAAATAAAAAGTAAACTGTCACTATTTGCAGATAACATGATATTATATACAAAAATCTCTAAAGATTCCACCAAAAAACTGTTAGAACTAATAAACAAATTCAGTAAATTTGCAGAACAAAATCAACATACAAAAATCTGCTGTTTCTATACACTAATAACCAACTATAAAAAAGAGAAATTAAGAAAACAATCCCATTTACAATTACATCAAAAGTAATAAAACACCTAGGGATAAATTTAACCAAGGAGTTGAAAGACCTATACAATGAAAACTGTAAGACACTGATGAAAGAAACTAAAGATGACACAAAAAAGTGGACATTTATGCAATACACGAGACACCCCTATTACCCAGCAATTACTTTCTTCTGTATGTATCCCTACTCCCATTTTGATTTGTCAAAATCTTACCATCCCTCAAGGATTCACTAAAATAACTCTTTCTCCAAAAAGTCATTTCGGTCACTAATTAGAGTGCTCCTTCTCTTCGGTGAGCAATCATAACAGTATGTAACAATCTTAAAATATATCTTACATCTGGAGTCACTGTAGCTAATTCCCTAACATCTTATTCACCATACAAGATTAAGCTAAACCAATTATGTAATCCCATTACCCTTGCCACTGACTGATTTATAAATGGGCAGGTAACTCAGCTCCGGCCAGAGAGATCAGAAGGAAAGTGTATTCTGAAAAGAGGCTTCTGAGAAAGTTTTCCTTGCTCCTAAGAATCACAGGAAGAAATAAGTCTTTTCTTATGCTGAATATTGTTTTATATACTTTTAACACCTGGAACTGCTGAAGCCATGTTTGACCACAAGGGGAGTCAGCCTGAGGGTAGTGAGGATGGCAGAGTAGTGATAAAGAAAGAAACTTGGTCCTTGACAACCCTGCTCAGGCATCAACTGTACCACACTAGTCAACCTCTACACTTGCATAAGATAATAAATGTCCTTGTTTAAGGCAGTTTCAGTCAGAATTTATAATTTGCTGCCAAAAGACTTCTAATCTATTATGCTACCATATATTTAAGAATCTATTACAACTATGGATATCTACATATGTTTACCAGTAATTATTGGTATACAAGACAATTCTTACATTTGATGACCCCCCTAAGGGCAGGGTCATGTCTTATTTAATTTTCTTTCTTTGCTTTGCTTTGTTAAGTTTTAATTTTAACTGAAGTAGTATTTGCATTTGGTTAAGAAAAAAATAGAGCTCATAAGCAAACATTGGAAAATAGTGATCATCTGGCCCACATTTTCCCATTCCTGCTTCCCAGAGTCAGCTACCTTTAATTATTTTGGCTGTTTCTTCTGATATATACCTTTATATTTCTAAATAATGTAAATGTATTTCTTGATGTATCCATTTTTACTGTATTTTTCACGTCCTGTTATAGTAACTAATTTAGCTTATATCACACACAATCACCACCACTTTCCCTTTTTCCATCTTTCCAACATACCAAAAGCACAATTTTTAGTTGATTCAATGGTCAGTTTACACCAGTGGTGCTCAAAGGGTGGGAAGACCCTTTAAGAGGGGCTACAAGGTTAAAAATATTTTCATAATAATACCACAGTGTTACCTGCCTTCTTTATTTTTATTTTCTCATTAGCAAACAGTGACATTTTCCATAAGCTATATGATATAGCAACAGACTGAATGCTGAAGCAGATATGAGAATGCAGTAGTCTCCTTTTAAGCTAGACAGGAAGGAGATATGCAAACAGAAAACAATGCCTTTCTTATCACTAAATTTTTTTGTTCAGGAAAACATGTGATTTTTTATGAAAATGTCATTTCATGTTAAGATTTCATAATTCAGGGTGGGAAGGGATAGACTGGGATTTCAAAATTGTAGAATAGATAAACAAGATTACACTGTATAGCGCAGGGAAATATACACAAAATGTTATGATAACTCACAGAAAAAAAAAATGTGACAATGAGTGTGTATATGTCCATGAATGACTGAAAAATTGTGCTGAACACTGGAATTTGACACAACATTGTAAAATGATTATAAATCAATAAAAAATGTTTAAAAAAAGATTTCATAATTCATTTTTATTTGAATAAACATTTTTAAATTTTCTCAGTTTTAATTTCTTATCTCATATAGAAAATAGCAAAAGACAAATCCCATATAAAGAATAGCTTTTTGAGGTCTTTGATTATTTTTAAAAGTATAAAAAGGTCTCAAACCCTTGAGAACTACTGGTTTAAATGATTAAAACTATGTAAATATTGTTTACTGCCAAGCCAACTCAAATATCGTATGCCTTTTTGAGTTTTCCTAAAGTT